CTGGGTCACGGGAACGCTTTTGCTTTCTTCCGCGACCCAGCCGGCGTCATTCACGTTTAGTGAATCCCTCTTGCCGGGGACGAGGTCCCCGGACTAGGATGACGACACCTATATTCTAAAACTTTACTGTTATCTGATTAGATAGTACTCGTTTGTAATGTAACTGAATGGCCATTAGTAATCCTGTCCAATGGGGCAGTTACGGGCTATCACGCTCTGAAGTTCGTAAAAAACACACCTAAGTTCACTTATTTTCATAAAGCGGCTTTTGACATATGTGTTGGAGACTACTGTAAGAAATTGTCTGCCAATATTTGTTTAGTAATGAATGAAACGAAATGATGGGGACATAAACCAGAAAGTGTTGAGATTGAGTGTGGATGGCTACAAAGGAAGAGGAAGACCGAAGAAAGTATGGATGGATTGTGTGAAGGAAGATATGCTTAAGAAAGGAGTGGATTCAGATATGACGGCTGATAGAGATGTATGGAAGAGCAGCACATACTGTGCCGACCCTGGTCTGGGATCTCAATCTATAGGTATTAGTAAAATAAATGGTTACTTCAGAAACCCAGCATAACAGCTGTAAAACATAACTGTTAGAGCGGATGTACACCTTTGACTAATCTATCGCATTGTGCGACTGTCGATTATTTCTCAGCCAATTCAACTGTTTAGTACAATTAAAAATCAAGTAGTGCATATAGGTGTCAAAGAGAGATAAAACAGTCGTGCGATATTTTAGTCCAAGGTGCGCGCTCATAGGTATCATTCTATGAGTATTCTCCCACTGTCATAGGAAATATCGTTTTATTATTATCTGTACTATTATAATAAAGCGTAAACACACACTTTGTTGCCTAAGATATCAGCAATTACACCATATTTTTGAATAATCCTTATATTAATAAAAAGCCCTACATTTACGTCATGCTTTAGGCTATATATTTTAACGCCATTAAACTTAGGAGGTAAATATTTTGGATTTAAACCCTAATGTAGGAAAGAGACCATAAGCTGCCAACATCAAGAAAGCAAGACTGCTAAGGTTTGTCATGTCATGTCATTTTGACATTTGCTATTGATAATTTGACAAATGTAAACGATAAAATAAAATTTTCATAATTTGTTGGGTGATGCCGCACGGGAACAGCCAGTTATTTATATTCATCAAACAATTTTTTTTTCTATCTTAAAGATCGAAAATCGATGACTGCTGTAAGTTATTATTAGCTATTGTATTTAAGGCAGTAAATTCCATATTTTATTAATGCATTCATAGAATTTATCCGACTTGTGAAGGACCAATATTAATTTATGCTGCTTTGTGTTTATCTATACTAATATAATAAAGAATAAACACATTCAATAGTGGTAGAGCCCGCTTTAACATCTTCGGACGAATGGGCCGGCTCGCCCGGTGTGCCACGACCACACAGAAAACAGGCGTGAAATGGAAGTAATTCCGCGTTTCGTCTGATGAGTGTGGTGCCGGAGGCCCAATTTTAGTCTCTTTCCCTTTCCGATCTTTTCTTAAAAGGAAAGGATGGGAAGGAAAAATGGATTTAACTGTGGAGAGGACGCATTAGAAAGGGAAGAAGTCCTCTTTCTGTGCGTCTCCTCCGTTAATTAAGGTTAGGCAACGCATCTGCAATAGCGGATGTTTATGGGCAGCAGTCGCTTTCCATTTCGGTGGATTCAGGTGGACGTTGGCTCGTTTACCACCTTATATTATATAAAAAAAAAATCACTACTTCGTGGCGTAGGATATATTACAGCATATTTTTGAATAATTATTTCCTTAATAAAAAGCCCTACACCTACGACACGCCAAGCTATAAAAAAAACATTCATGTGGGAAAGAGATTATAAACTACAAGTTGCTAACATTAAGGAAGCAAGGTTATTATGGTAATCGTAATTTTGACATTTGCAATTGAGTATTTGAGAAATGTAAACCAAATTAAAGTTTTATAATTTAATGCGTATGAAACCGCGCCGGAACAGCTAGTTTATTATATATTTCTGTCAATGCTGGACCTATTAGGATAGCTTAAATTGCTATAACTTTGTGGAGACATACATAATACAGTTTATATAATGCATAGTTTTCTCCGTTCGTACAAGCTTATGTACTGCGTCAGGTCGATATCGGCCTGTTACGCAGTGAACGTGTTAAAATATTACTGCTTTGATTCCTTTTTATTTCCGTATCCACTGTGATATCTAGAGTTTTGTAACCTCTATGGATGTTCTAACAAATAAAGCCTAATTAATAAATGGCGCCACTGACATATGACGTCATCGAAGCATGTTATGACACGCGATATTAATTAAAAGCACGTGCTTAAGATAATATTACAAGCATTAAAGGTGTTGATACACTAGACCGAATGGATTTTTTTGCATAGTCATACTAATATTGTAAATGTGCAAAATTAAATGGATGTTTGTAGCTTAAACTGCTGACCGGATTTCGATTAAATTTGGTATAGATGTAGAGGATAGTCTGAAAGAACATATAGGCTACTCGCTTTTGTTTTTTTTAATTGCACAATGACGGAGTCGGTGGTGAAATCTAGTGCATTATAAAAAAAAGACAGCTAAACATATTGATATAGTTGCCACTCCTCCAGTGTGTTTACAACTTTATTGAGGTGTCATTTTATAAACGTAATAAATAACTTACGACGCAACTGCTGTATTTAATAGCTTATAATTTATTCACACGTCTATTAAAGTGTATGTGACTAGATTTTGCCAGAGACTGTATTCGCGTGGAATTGAAAAATCTAAATAATATTATAAATGCGAAAGTTTAGATAGATGTCTGTTAGTTGTCTAAACTGCTGAACGGATCTTGATGACATTTGGTATAAATGTAGAGTATAGTTTGGAAGATACGCTGTTCACTTTTGTTTAATTCCATGCGGACAGAGTCGCGGGCGAAAGCTCGTCTAGTAAATATATCCTATAACACTCAGTGATAATGTGGCTTTCTAATGGTGAAAGATTTTTTGAAATCTGTCCAATTGTTATTGAGTTTATTCGTTACATACAAACGCTCGTGGCTCTTAAATGTTAATACATTATTTAGTAACACTGTTATGTTAGTTTATTTTGTAACAAAAGCTTTTTTTATACAATATAATGTGGCAAACGAACAAGCGGCCACCTGAATCCGCCGAAATCGTCATAAACATCCGCAACTGCAGATGCGTTGTCTACCCTTAATTGACGGAGGAGGAGACGCACATAAAGAGAACACTTCCCCTTCCTATGCGTCTCCTTCACCGTCAAAACCACTTTTCCTTCCCTTCCTTCCCTCTTAAGATAAGGGTGGAAAGGGAACGGGACTAAAATTAGGCCTCCGGCACCACACTCATCAGACGAAACGTGGAATTGCTTCCACTCCACGCCTGTTTTCTGTGTGGTCGTGGTATTACACCGGGCGAGCGGACCTATTCGTGCGAAGATGTTAAAGCAGGCTCTACCACTGTTACCAAAGTAGAGCTTCTTAAAATTTCGTAAAGTGTTTTATTACATGTCAATACACAAGACGGCACTAAACTTGACAAATAACAAAGTACCTGTCATAGATAGTACCGGTGAAAATTTTTCACTGTCTCGTCTATACATTTTTAAATGTCTTTGGTTCCAGGTATACAGCTTTTAATAACAACCAAAGTATCATACTCTCTAGTACTTCTGACTGCCAATCTAGAAGATATCAAGAAGATAGCGAGACAATTCGTATCAGAAACAGTCGCTGATCAAATCGGTAAACTATTCGTACATACTACCGACAATCACACGGTTAACATATCAGAAGAAAACAACCTTAATAATGACGTTAACAAAGTATCTAGTGAAACTTTCGAAGTACCACGAGCTAATAAAACATCAAACGAAGATGTAGAAAAGATACTAAAAGAAGCAATGCAACGTGTAAAAGAAATGAAAGATGTCGTTCAAGATGTCACTAAAAGACAAAAGAAACCTGAAAAAGAGAAAAGGAAACCAACAAAAGATAACACGAAACCTAGCACTAAAACTTCCGATTATTACACTTACGATTTCATTTTGACACCAGAAAAAACTATAAAACCCAAATACGAATGGAAGAAAGGTTTAAATTTCGATTTCCTATCAACACCTAATATATTTAAAGAGAATCAAATTTACCAAACATTCACACGTGGAATTCTATCAGATAGGGAAGGTTACAGTGACAACAGAATAGAACATTCTTCAGACCAAACAGATAGAAGATACGAGAAGAGTAACAATAGATTAGAACCCAAAATACAAAGACTTAAATACAAACCTGAAATAATGAAAAGAAATAAAAAACTTGAAACAGATTCAACTAAAACACGATCACAAAATATAACAACAAAATCTAATTTATTAGATTACTACGATAACTCGATTTACATCAAAAAGGAAATAATCGCAACAAGTGGTCCTATAGACTTAATAAAAGTAACTGCTGTAAAAGAATTGTCATCATCTTCAAGTGAATATTCTCTAGACAAAGAGAATAAAGATAAAAATGTGAACGTCGATTTATATTTTAGAAAACTATTAGATTCAAAATTAAAACAATATAAAAACGACACGAAAGAAATCAAAGCACAAATCGCTAATATTACTTTTAACACGTCTAATAAATTTTTCGATAAAACTATTGTAACGACCAAAGGACCATTGAAAGTAGCAAACAAAACTAAAAGTTTCAGTAAGAAGGTAAATACAAAAAATAATCCGTCTTATTTGGATGAAAGTTATGATTTGTACTATTCAAAATAGAATTAAAAAGCATTATTATTATACAAAAATATAGATTAAACACGTTAATAATTTAATAAATAAATAAGTACTAATGACTGTTATTTCGTAGAAAGAAATGCGAGTATGTATTGTGTTGCAAAGGATATGCTAGAGAAGGCAGTGAATTCAGATATTCAGATAGAGATGTATGTAAGAGTACATACTGTACACTACGCAGGGTAAAGTATGTATTGTGTTGCAGAGGATATGCTAGAGAAGGCAGTGAATTCAGATATTCAGATAGAGATGTATGTAAGAGTACATACTGTATACTACGTAGGGGAAAGTATGTATTGTGTTGCAGATATGCTAGAGAAGGCAGTGAATTCAGATATTCAGATAGAGGTGTATGTAAGAGTACATACTGTACACTACGTAGAGGAAAGTATGTATTGTGTTGCAGAGGATATGCTAGAGAAGGCAGTGAATTCAGATATTCAGATAGAGATGTATGTAAGAGTACATACTGTGCACTACGTAGGGAAAAGTATGTATTGTGTTGCAGATATGCTAGAGAAGGCAGTGAATTCAGATATTCAGATAGAGATGTATGTAAGAGTACATACTGTACACTACGTAGGGGAAAGTATGTATTGTGTTGCAGAGGATATGCTAGAGAAGGCAGTGAATTCAGATATTCAGATAGAGATGTATGTAAGAGTACATACTGTGCACATTACGTAGGGGAAAGTATGTATTGTGTTGCAGAGGATATGCTAGAGAAGGCAGTGAATTCAGATATTCAGATAGAGATGTATGTAAGATACATACTTTGCCCACTACGTACATTAATTATTGCTTAAAAATTAAAATAATTACTCACAGGACTTAAAACATTTTCCAATTAGTATAAAATTACTAAAAGACTAAATACAGTTTTTAACATATTTCCTTTGGGAGAAATAAATAAAATTCGGTCCCACCCTGTCTAGTCTTTTAATTATTATAATAAATTCTACCAATTTTTAACGTCCTTCAGATATTAATGACTACTATAGACTTTGTACATAACATAGTCTAGATCAAAGAGAAATCTACCATTATAGTTATTCTAAATTAGATTAGTTTGACAATTCTTTGGCAATGGAATTGGATTGGTTGTGTAAAATCAAGCATGAATCTTTTCGATTTTTGATTTTTATTCTCATAGAAGGCATTGATAGATTCCTAGTTATAACTTATGAATTAAAAAACACTATTTTCTCAAATTAATAATGACCAGAACCATTACAAATAATGAGAGTAAATAAATGTTTATTACTACTACAGCCGTACACAATAAAATTGAATTTCGCTATTATTATTGTCATCGCTAAATTCTCTACACTATAATCAATACTAGAATTGTCCTCTAAATTAGTTAATAAGAAAATAATAACTTTAGTTAAGCTCGATAAATTTTATTTTAACCGAATATCGATAGTTCATAATTGTTCGCTGTGTGTTTGTTTCGTCACTACGATACCTGTCTATTAAGTACGGCATTTGCCTTCATACAAATTGAATTCGATACTTCATATGCGTCATTTATCAAACTAATCTATCTTATTTAGACAAACCATAAATGTGTCTTTTAAGTCTTAGTTCAAGCCGTCAGTTTCAATCTGGACATTTTTATATTTGACTAATTTAACAATTTGTATGTAACATACATTTAAATGATACTCCGGCACCCTGACTTCCCCGCACATCGTCTCGGCGTTGCAGGAGTCGATGCAATGCGATCTGCCACCTCGTATGAACACTTGACGTGTGGGACATTTTCTGTAAAAGACAAATAGGTAGGTAAGAAAAAAGTAAGAACCATAGAGATTCAAATTTATAGAGGCATACATATACTGTCGCTTTAAACTCAGAGCAACATTTCTCGTTAGGACTCTGGATGCGCGCCAATCTATCCATAATTGTAGTGACATTGACAGCTGTCAGCTAGGGACGTGACGTTTATGCCGATAATCTAGAGTTGCGCCAACTCTACAGCACGGTACTAATTTTGTTCTTAACGATACAAACATTATTATTGTCTTCAAAGATATGTGAAGAGTTTTTTAACTTAGAAACTAAGTAATTTTAGCATCAAAACTGATATAAGCTGCTTTTATCTGTTTTATTTGTTTCGTGTAAAGAATTCCGTTTAGTTAATCAAACGATAAGATTATATGATGTTATAATATTAAAATATTTCATCACTAGCTGTTGCCCGCGACTTCGTCCGCGTGCTATTAGAAAACATACGAATATTACGTATCCCGGGAACCGGACTTCTCGGGGATGAAGCTTATCCCACATGTACTCCAGACTTTGTTTTATATCTGTGCCAAATTTCAATAAGATATGTTGAACCGTTGCAGAATGATCGAGTGAACATTAAAAAAAACTAAATTAATGCATCCCACGGGAACCCTAATTATTGTCGGGATAAAAAGTAGCCTATGTGTTCTTCCAGACTATGCTCTAAACGTGTGCCAAATTTCATAGAGATCCGTTCAGCCGTTTAGGCTACAAACACTAACAAACATCGATCAATCATCTAAGCTTTCGCATTTATAATATTAGTATGAAGTATAATATGATATGAAGATATATGATATATGATTAAAACGTGACGCCTGAGTTAGCATTGAAGTGAATTCTTTCACCCAATATACCAACTCAAAGGACAAACATTGTCTAAAGTTTTAGATCCTTCGGTCAATCTTTTGGTGATTTAAACTAGAGTTGTAACGGAGGCCATTTTAACGGGAGCGGAAGCGGAAGCGGATGCGGATGTGAAGGCCTTCACTTCTGCAGAAGCGGAGGTTCACGGAAGCGGAAGTCAATAAAAATGGTCATTGCGATTTATTAAAGAAATAAAGACTAAAACTACGTTACTTCAAAATACAGATTGGTACATAATTACAGGATATAGTTTTTTATGCAAATATGATGTATAACAATTATAGTTAGTGGACCAAGCACGACCGCGCGGACCGCATAAGCGATACCCAATCGCCCCAATCGCATTAAAGAAGTAAATTAACCTCCGTTATAACTCCGCATAAGAAATAACGGAAGCGGAAACGGCGTTAATATTTCTTGCGGAAGTTCCGCACTTACGGATGCGGAAGCGGTTCCGTTACAACCCTAATTTAAACGCGGTTCTTCCACTAGATTTCTCCCGTGACTCGGTCCGTATGGTATTAAAAAGTAAGTAGCCTATACGTTCTTCCAGACTATCCCCTACATCTATGCAACATCAAGATCCGTTCAGCAAAGCTACAAACAAACATCTAAACTTTCGCATTTATTACAACAGTAAGATTTTTGAAAACAACGCCATCTAGTTGAAAAACTTTACAACTTTCATGTTTTTATAGACGTATTCAAATTTCCCAAATCAACTTATAACGTATGTCGATAACAGCACTAAAAAGAATGGTTACAGACAATCTTATCTCCCTGATAATAGTATATCTGATACGGCATTTATTACAGTATAATTTCAAACATGAAAACGTGATAAAATCCTATTCTGTTGACAATATTGTGCTTCATATTGTGAATCTGTATTCCTATACTGTTTATTTACAAAATATTGAGATGTTTGTTAACATTTAAAAGTGTTTTAAATGGAAAATAAATCTAAAAGGTATGTACAAATCATTTATAACGTCACTCGATGTTACTCCAAATCGTCAAAACAGCTAGACACATTTCCGTTTTCCATTAATGTACTCCGTATAACGAACATTCTATTTAAAACTAAAATTAATTTGTCGTTTCTACAAACCATTTCTAACATATATAACTAGTAAAGAGATATTCACAGATTAAAAAACAACCTAATTCCAGATAAATATGGCAACACAAAATCGCCCCTACCAAGGTTACCCGTATGTAAATCCCGTGGTCATAGATGTGCCTTCTATAGACCCTACCACCGCGGGTAGATGGACTAATTTACCACGAAGACCTATCGGAGGATTGAATGATCGACCGGGGACCAGTAGTGATGTGAATGAAGTACGAGTAAGTCATACAAGTTCATAAAACACTAACTGTTCCCGTGCGGCTTTATTCGCATGAAATGATGAAGATTTTATTTTATTGTTTACATTTGTCAAATTATCAATAGCAAATGTCAAACTGACATGACATGACAAACCTTAGCAATCTTTCTTTCTTGATGTCTCTTTCTCACATTAGGGTCTTTATCCAAATTATTTACCCCCTACATTTATTAACGTGAAAATATATAGCCTAAAGCATGACGTAAGCGTAAGGCTTTTCAACCCCACCCATTTTTTAAAAGGAAAGGATGGGAAGGAAATGTGGTTTCGACGACGGAGGAGGCGTATAGGAAGTGGAAATATCCTCTTTATGTGCGTCTCCTCCGTCAATTGAGGGTAGGCAAATCTGCAATTGCGGATTTTTATGGGCAGCGGTCGCGTTCCATTTCGGTGGATTCAGGTGGCTGCTTGTTCGCCACCTTTTAATATAAAAAATTACGTTCTTTCAGTGAACGAAAACATATTGATGCGTGCACATATCTGGCAGTGAGGGGTGTAGACTGAGGCCTAGTCTTAGGCCCTATAAGCACATAAGCTGACGTCATTGATTGATTTACAAATTAATATTTTTCAGGCCGAAGCAGATACTAAAGATTCTTCTGAATCTAATAGCAATGGACCAGAAGATAATCCCGTGGTGTACATTGATGTACCGGAGAGTGGAGCCAGCAGTGTACTTGAGAGTCCCACAAACAGAAACGAAACAGAGGGATCCTTTGTACAGGTGACTTATATCTTTAACACTAGCTGTTCCCATTCGACTTCATCTGCATGAAATCATGAAAATTTTATTAATATATTGACAGCAAAAGTCAAAATGACATGACATTACAAACCTTGGCAATCTTGCTTCTTTGATATTGGCAGCAACTTATGGTCTCTTTCCCACATTAGGGTTTTTATCCAAAATATTTACCCATTAATTTTAATGGCGTGAAAATATATAGCCTAAAGCGTGACGTAAGTTTAGGGCTTTTTATTAAAAAAATGAATTATTCAAAAACATGCTGTAATTGCTTACATCTTAGGCAACAAAGAAGTGTGTGTTTACGCTTTATTATAACATTATAAATAAAACAGTGATTCTCGGGACCAAGTGAGAGTTCTATGATCCACGACAGAGGGCGAGGGTGTACGATTCTAGAAATGCGGCAGAAGATTCGCCTTGACCAGTAAAACTTAGAAAACTCTGTTTTATTTCAGGATACGATATTATACGATCCCTTTAAGAACAGGAGGATAGAACTGCGAGTGACGGGTGATGAAAGTGATGATGAGAATTCCAGACAACCAACTAGTTCATCTAGAGGTGAACAGTCCTCCAGACCTCAACCACCCAATACCCTACAAATTTCATCACCTGGCAGTAGCTCAGGTAACATATAAATTTCATCACCTGGCAGTAGCTTAGTAATTTTCGTATTTATAATATTTATATGAACATGATTTATTAATGTCTATTCCAGGTTATACATCATCACCAACATTTGGGTCATCAACTAATCCTAACCTACCAGGTCTAATGTCTAAAGAAGCAGGGTACTACGGCCGGCAGACACCTGACGACATGTTTCCTTTGGGACCTATACCAGTGTCCGAGTTCCCGGAACCACCACCCGCATATACTGAATTCGACCGAGTAAACCAAACTGAAAGTGTAACTGAAACAACGCCACCTAGGACGGAAGTTGTTACTATAGGTAAGGCTATATGTAGTCCAAAGAGCACTTGATTTACCACAGGTAATGTGTTCGAATCTCGCCATATACTAATGTGATTTTGGATTTTACGAATTGAGTTTTACTAATATTATAAACTACCTTTCGTCCGCAACTCAGTCCGCGTGGAATTAAAAAAAAACAAAAGGGAGTAACCCATGTGTTCATCCAGACTATCCTCTACATCTACCAGATTTCATCGAAATCCGTTTAGGCTATAAACTCTAACATCCATCCAATCCATCCATCTAAACTTTCACATTTATAACATTAGTATGAAGTATGATTAGATGCGAAAATTTAGATATATGGATGTTTGTTAGAGTTTGTAGCCTAAACTACTGAACGGACCTCGATGAAATTTGGTTTAGATGTAGAGGATAGTCTGGAAGAACAAAAGACTACTTACTATTGTTTTATTTAATCTCACGCGGACGAAGTCACGACAGCTAGTATGTACATAATGTACCAGACGTTCTTACGGTGAAGGAAAACGTGATGGGGAAATTCAAAGATATATGAAGTCAACCCGCAGTGCAGCGTGGTTGACTATGGCCTAGTCACCCTTACTTAGGGTAGGCTTCCCTTTCCGAAGGTCGCCATAGGGGCAGCGTTCCAATTTATTAGGACGCACCTAGGGCCCATTCCCGGGGCGGTCAGTGGGGCGTCGCAGTGGCAAGCGAAAGCGATCCCGTGGCGTTTAGTGGGTTATGCCCCATTATGGAGAGAGTGTCACATAACTCTCGTGTCTGCCCCGAGGCACGGAGTATGCGTAAAGCATTCCCTTCTGTCAAAAAAAGGGGTAGGCTTCCCCTTAGTGGGGACTTATAGTGAGCTGGTGATATAGCCCTATGCGATCTGTAGGTCTCGATTTCTTCAGTTACAGATAACAGAACAACTGTACGACCGGGTTCAGATAGAAAACTCCTTCAATGCCCACATTGCAATCAAAGAGTGCATTCTCTAGTTGTGAGAGAAGTCGGTGCTTTCACACACATATTGGCTATAATCTTCTCATTGTTATGGTAAGAATTTACACTGCTAGTCAAGTCAAACTTTAGTTTAAAAGCGGGCGCACGTTGACTAAACTATCGCACAATAGGGAATATGCATGTATTTTTTTTAAACGATTCTACTTATTATAAAATAACCACAAAAAATTGAGGCGAAAATATTCAACCATTGAGCTTAAAATAATAAAATAAAATCAACCATTTTCGAGCGACTAAAACGCGACCGGAGTTGTCATGAGACCATTGACGTCAATCGTCTATTCCATTCATAATTTACGCTCAGATGTCACTTCGACGTAAAATACAAGTTTCTCAAGGTCAAAAAGTCAAAAATCGATGCATTTTTATTTTTCCTGGTACAAATAAGTGGTAATTAATAATTCTTTTCTTTTTTTTTTATTATAATCTTGGTTTACAGTAAAATACTTTAAGAGTGTATTTCTGTATCAACTAAATAAACTGTGTATTGTCAACACAGCGACGCCATATTAGATAAGCCACTTGCTTCGACCAATAGTGTGCGTTTTAGAACTTACGAGGGAATTTGAAAAAATACACTTTTTAATGATTAAATTTTGCAGCTAAATCACATTATATTTAAAAAAATCTTTGCAGGACTGTTTTTATAGTAATAAAGTATACTTAAAAAAAGTTTGGTACAATTTCGTCATATGCATATTGCATATTATGCGATTGCTTCGCAGCCAACTGTTTAGTTGCAAAAATTGAGTAGTGTGCACGTCTCGATATAAGCTTATAGGAATCAAAGAGAGACTAAACAGTTGTGCAATAGTTTAATGAGTACGTGCTGTCATAACTGAACAGAGACGAACATTTAAATCGTACATGTGTAGACAAGACTAAGGGCCTATCATGAATATTTGTGTGACATTTGCGAGCAAGTATTCGTTCGGAGCGTCGAGCGTCGTTAAGAGCGTCGGTGGCTCAGTAGTTTGAATACTTGACTTGTAATCTACAGGTCTTGGGTTCGAATCCCGCCATGTACCAATGTGATTTTAGATTTTTCGAATTTTCATATGTACATAATTTACCCGACGTTCTTACGGTGAAGGAAAACATCGTGATGCAACCTACACGTATCGGCGAAGAAATTCAAAGATATGTGTGAAGTCAACCAACCCGCACTTGGCCAGCGTGGTTGACTATGGCCTAGTCACCCCTTAATAGGGTAGGCTCCGAGCCCCTCGGTGGGGACATATAGTGAGCTGGTGATGATGAATGATTCGTTCCGTCAGTGATAATTTTTATATAACACTAGCTGTTCCCGTGCGGCTCCATCTGCATGAAATTATGAAAATTTTATTTCATTGTTTACATTTGTCAAATTATCAACATTAAATGTCTTATCAATCTTGCTTCCTTGATGTTGGCAGCAACTTATGGTCTCTTTCCCACATTAAGGTTTTTATCTAAAATAATTACCCCTTAAGTTTAATGTAGTGTAAATATATAGCCTAAAGAGTGACGTAAGTGTAGGGCTTTTATTAAAGAAAGAATTATTCAAAAATATGCTGTTATTGCTGACATATTAGGCAACAAAGAAGTGTGTGTTTACGCTTTATTATAATAGTATAGATATAGATTACTCGTTGCATTTACCTCTCGGTAGGGGCGCTGAATAACGTAAATTCGTTAAATACAGTTCCCATGAATATTCGTGATAGGCCCTCGATACAGTTTTAAGTGACAGTGAAAAAACTTCAGTTTGAATCAGTTAAAACCAAAGATGTGTAGTTTTAAGTCCCCTTACATTTAGCATTAACAAAAATACTAATTATAAACTTTCTCTTACAGTCTCATTCCTATCGTGATTTTAATATATTGCACGGATAGTTGCAAATACAAGAACCATTATTGCCCCAACTGTAACCAACTGATCGGCTACGAGATACCTATTCTCTGTCAACAGATGGCGTTTGTTTAAATTAACAAGCGAAAAATAATCAAAGGAAACTTTGCCTACATAAACTCTGTATTACGTTATAGTGCGACAAGACTATATTATTCCGAATCAAGACGTTTTGTAAACAAACAGCAACAGACAGAATGGTTTAAATTCTCATCGGAAAAAACTTAAAACTGTGTGATAATTTTTTTATAGCGTAATTTGTAGTAACTCATCATACCTATCAATATTACTTCACGAGTCAAGGAATTAAATTCGCTGCCCACTTAAAATCGACACCAGTGTTATTTAGCATGTAACTTTGTATGTTGTCAAATCAACCTAATAGCATTGTTAGCTTTACATACCGAAATGGGTAGGAATTTAATGTCCTAGACTGTAATATGTCGTCATATAATAATTCTTAAGTTACCTGTTAAGTTTAATTGGTCCTCCAGTCTTTCGTACTTTCAACGCTTGCTCCCAAAACTTCACAGCTTCTGGTAATATTGTATTCTATAAAAGAAAAGAAATGAAAGAAAAGATATAAATGAAAGAAAAGATTTAATTAAAAGAAAAGATTAATCACTACATCGTTAAGTTATGTTACCTTTCATATAAATAATATAAAATTTTAATTAAATTAATTAAAAATGATTATTCTAATAAATACAATAATTGGTTATTCATGTAAATATAATTACAAAAAAAACCCTTGTTTTATGTTAACTCAAAAATAATTATTTTGCCAATAGAAAGATATTTTCTAACGGATGATTGTTATTGATTTTTTACATTTATCTTATTTCTTGCTATTAAAAATGCGACACTATGTATGTATGGATATTTGTTTGAAGGTACCTCCTAAACTGCTTAACAGATATAAAAGACATAGATCATAATCTGGTAGAAGTCATAGACTTAACCATTTGTTTATATCCGCGCGGACAGAGTCGCGGGTAACAACTAGTTTTAAAATCAAATTCAACTTACATTAATCATATCGAATTTCTCCGGTTCTAACCTGAAAATATATAAAAAAACATCACAAATTAAATCGAAGCTTTTTTTTGACAGAGGGGAATGCCTTATGCATACTCAGTACCTCGAGAGTTATGCGGGACTCTCCCCATAATGGTAGTAAATCGAACCTAGGCTTATTATGGTCTGGTCCTGGTCTAGCACTTAACTGGACCTGAAATGTTCTTGGTAAATAATAGAAGAGAGCATCGGTGGCTCAGTGGTTTAATCATTTTTTTTGGCAAATGAGCAAGCGGCAACCTGAATCCGCCAAAATGGCGAAGCGACTGCCTACAGACATCCGCAATAGCAGATGCGTTGCCTACCCGTAATTCCCATCCTAGTCTTATGAGAAAAAATGTGGGAAGGAAAAGTGACTAAAGTTGGGCCTTCACCACCACACTCATCAGACGAAACGCGGAATTGCTCCCACATCACGTCTGTCTTCTGTGTGGTCGTAGTATTGCTCCGAGCGAGCCGGCCCATTCGTGCGAAGATGTTAAAGCGGGATCTACCACTGTAATTGACTTGATTTGCCATCTATAGGTCTTGGGTTCGAACCCGCCGTACCAATGCAATTTAACCGACGTTCTTACGGTGAAGGAATCATCATCTACACACATCGACAGAGAAATTCAAAGAGATGTGTGAAGTTAACCAACCCGAACTGGGGCTGCGTGGTTATGTCCTAATGACCTATAGTAGGATCTAAGTCCTCAATAGAGTGTTGATATCTTACCTATATACAGAGTGGTCATAAAATATACTAATCCTAAGCGGCTGGTCTATACTTCTTCTTTTAACTAGATGCGCTGGCTCTATATGTACACCGCGGACTACCTGAAAAGAATACAGAAAATATGAATAGGTTAAAAAGAATAACACACACGTTTGTATAATTTTTATCTATACTTCACATATACTAGAGTTATGAAGAGGAATGATTTGTATTTTTGTATGTATTGAGGTGGCAAACGAGCAAGCTGCCACCTGAAACCGCCGAAATGGCGGAACGGCCTCCGCCCTTCTTGCCGAGCTTGCCACCTTTTGCCACATTTTCTTTTTTACTAGATTTAAGATTGATGTATATAAGATTTAATTTGTAGATTGTTTTTGTGGCAATAAAAGTCCTATTTATTTATTTGTTTATTTATTTATCATATGTTTTGTAAATGTATTTAGTCAATTCTTATTAAAAACGATAATGTAATAATTATCATAATCAAGGAAGTGCTAACTGTAAATGGCCAAATATTAACACACAATAACTTAAAAAATCAATTACTTTTTTATATATATATCATTATAATTTAATAACCGTGACTTATTTAATAAAAGATAACTTCTTGATTTTGTACACAATAATGATCACGTGCGCAGATTTGCCGAGAGCCATGACGTCACAAGTCAACTGACGGCACAAAACAGAGTCATCGACAAACCCGCTCTCCACTAATATCTGCCTCCTTATCCTACTGCCGTATTAGCGCAAGAGATTTTTGTCCTCCATAACTCTATCATACGTCATCTCAGTCACTCCCTTCATCATGTCACCTTTCACACAATCCATCCATCTCTTTCTAGAAGTTTCTTTCGAACTTAGTATACTGAAATTAAATTATTAACCTCTAAGCTATGAGTACAAACATTTATATGTTTCAGTATAACTTAAAACCAATCATATTTTACGATTGAAAAAGAAAACACAATAAAAATGTGGAGTAAAATGTTTACCGTCGTTTTATTTGCCTCTTCGATCGTGTTCTGTCGTAAGTATATTATAAATAATAATATTTTTATTTTAAACTGTGGCAAAAAACAAATAATAACGAAGCCTATATTAGTCACGGCGTCTTTGACTAAACTATCTAACTACCGTTTAGTCGCTTTGATTCCTATGTGCTTATATGGTACACTACTCGATTTTAATGCAACCAAACAGTTGAATTGACTAGAAACAATTGAGAACCGCACAATTGTGGGATAGTTTTGTCAAAGGTGTGCGCTCTACTCGTGTTATCTAAGAAAGAGTTTTACGTAGAAGGTTAAATAGTTTTTGAGTCTATTCTGTACAAAATAACGAATAATTTCAGCTTGTTATTACTTAGTATTTTTTGAAAAACATTTCTGTTACCCAACTTCGAATGGACAGAATCAATTCAAATAAATAAAAAAAAAAACAAAAAGGAATTTCAATGGAAATTTTCTAAATTCAATAGACGTAAACCCAACAAAGGAAAAGAAAACTTACAAAAACCTTTACAGTCGATCTATCTTACTTCTTACTAATATTATAAATGCGAAAGTTTAGATGGATGTTTGTTAGTTTGTAGCCTAAACTGCTGAACGGATTTCGATGAAATTTGGTACAGATGTAGAGGATAGTCTGGATGAACAAATAGGTATGGGCGTCACAGCCATGTTATGCTTTAATAAAATATAGTCTTCATGACCTCTTATGTTTTCTTCCAATTTGCACAGAATACCTTACCAATATGGCCGTCGTCTCGTCGAGCTAATGCAACACCCTTATTTTTGACATCCGACTACTATTCGATTATTAACATAACAAGCACAATTACGACATTTTAAAACCATGACATAAATATTTTAAATAATATTTTGGATCACCATTACAAAGTTATATCGTTATTTCAAACTATGACCAATGGCATTGATTTATAGCACAGACTAAATAACCTTCAAGAATACAGAATACATCAAAATAGTTAAAAAGCTAACATAGGCTACTTGCATTTGTTTTCTTTATTTCGCTAAAGCCAGTAATATGATAAATGAGAAAGTATATATGGATGTTTGTTAGTTTGCTAAATTTTAAATTCTAAATTGCTGAACAGATCTCGATGATTAGATGTAGAGGATAGTCTGGAACACATAGGATACTTTTGTTTATAATTCCAACCTGTAAATATTTCGTCGATCACTTGGAGAATTAAATAAAAGATTTTTGCTTAGAGGGAATGTGTACTCCGTCAGTTACAAGTTTTGAATGCAGATTAATAAAATTCATGCACCATGACGGTAATGCCGAAATTTAGTCGTTGCTGTTCGAAAAGTGGCAGGCGCTCACGAACACATCCTTTAGTATCTTTTCCACAGAAACCTTCAAGTCTGCGAACCAATGGGACGGAATACAATCACTTGTAAACGCAATCAATAAACACAATAAAGTTTATTTAAAAGAAAGAAATAGGAACAGCGATTGGTTGGAAGAAGAAAATGACTCGTTATCATCTCCTTTTGGTAAATATTATTTTATACATTTGGGTCGAATAAAAAAAATAATAAAAAATATAGCCTGTGTTACTCAGTGATAACGTAGCTTTGTAATAGTGAAAGAATTTTTGAAATCGGCCGAGTAGTTTTTATGTGAATCGAATACATACAAAAATACAAATCTTTCCACGTTACAATATTAGTATAGACAAGGGCCTCGGTTTTAATGGATGTTTGTTAGAGCCTAAACTGCTGAACGGATCTCGATGAAATTTGGTATAGATGTAGAGGACAGTCTAGAAGAACGCATAGGCTATTCACTTTTTTTTAATTCCACGCTGACGGAGTCGTGGGCGAAAAATAATACACAAATAAAATTATCACATAATATCAAAGACTAGCTGTTGCTCGCGACTTCGTCCATGTGGAATTAAAACATAGTAAAAAATATAGCCTATATTACTCACTAATAACGAAGCTTTTTAATGGTGAAAGAATATTTGCAATCGGCCCAGTAGTTTTTGAGTTATTTCAATACCTACTAAATTCAAAAATACAAATTTTCCTTTTTATAATATTAGTATAGATATTAAGAAATATACAGACTTGACATTTTTTCACCGGTAACTTTTTTATACGGTAATATCTCATAAATAATTCTGGAATCAATAGTAATAATAATAACGTTCAATTTCCAGATGATTTATCAGGGAATGATGTTGGAAGTGAGACTGACTCAACGGATATAGTAAAGAGGCAATTAATATCTTCAGAACTTAATTTATTACGTAACATGAAGTTAGAATTAGAAAATGATATGTCAAACAAAAAGAAACCAATAAAACCAAAACCTGATAATTTAGAAAAATCATTTAATAATTTCGAAATGAAACGCAGAGAAACATTAGTAACATTACCGAATTCAGAAACAGAAGAAAATAAATCGAATAAAGAATTCAATGTAGAATCTAAACAGAACTACAAAGAACTATTAGATATATTAGCAAAACAATTAAACGTGGTTGAGAATTTCGTTGATTTTATGAAAGAGGAAAAGACAGGGACAAGACAAGGTAAATCTGAATTCGATGAACTTCTAGAATCTATTAAGAATAAAACATTTGTAATTAAAACAACAACTGAAGCAACGACAGTGGAATCTACTCAAGTTGCTATGGTAACTTTAATCGATGAATCGGATATTAGGAATGCGTTGAAAAACGATCCTTTAGTCAAAAGAATCATAAAATTAGCTAAAAAGAAACGTGGACAATATATAAAGGATTTGGAAGAAGTTTTGGCGTAATTTATAGACGTTAAGGGGCTGTACCACCAAATTGTAAATTGTCTGACAATCTGACGTGTAAAATATCTGATGTAAATATTAGATTTTGTTACTGTAAGCTATCTGATCCACTATCAGCCAGTGGTGGGACAGGTCCTAAATTTTTAAATCAATGATTCTTTAGTCAATCTAAATTTATTAACTCGTATTTTGTTTTTTTTTATGATTTTATAAATTCCATTTTCATCCATAATTTCATTATAAGAAAATAATGGTAAGGTAGTTCTTCCGGAACCCTAATTTAAGTCCCAAAAAGGACGGACACTCATCAGAGTGTACGCGGAATTGCTCCCACTTGACGTCTGTCTTCTGTGTGATCTTGATATTGCATGTGGTGAGCCGACCCTATAGTACAAGATGTTAAAACAGTCAGAATGTTTTTTTAAAATCAGTAAATAGTATTTCATTGCCTGTATTATAACTAAATGCATATTGTAATACAAACAACAATACATCTAAATACCTTTCAATAGAATTGGGCACAAATCCTCGGTTGCACCATACACCTTTACATTACGTTCATGACCTTTAGAACGTCTGTGAGCTAGTGATGTGTTGACTACGATGTCGATATATAAACTTTTAACCAAAGACATTTAAAAATATATAGACTAGACATATTGAAAAAAAATTACGGGTACTTTCACTGAAAGGTACTATATCAGTTGTCAAGTTTAGTACGCAGTGCCTTGACAAGTAATAAAACGTTTTACAAAATTATAATAATATATTATAATGATACAGTTATAAGTTTGAGAGTAGCCCCAGTGGTAGAGAAGGTAAGGAGTAAAAGGATAGCATTGTATGGGCGTGTTATGAGGAGGGATGAATCGCATGTAACAAGAAGGACGTTAGCTATGGGTATGGAGGTACATCGGTAGAAGTAGACCTAGAAAGAGATGGATGGATTGCGTGAAAGGTGACATGATAAAAAAGGAAGTGATGACTGAGATGATGTATGATAGAGTTATTTGGAGGACAAAAACCTGTCGCGCCACTACGGGAGTAAGATAAGGAGAATGATGATGATGATGAATAGAGTTATTTGGAGGACGAATACCACGACTCTAGGAGTAGGATAAGGTAGGGGAGATGATGATGGAAACGTAGGAGCAAATTCGTATTTAAAACGCAGTGCTGTATTTAGTTATTTGTTGTACCTGATAAGAAATGCCAAGGTTTTTGAAGCGTTATCGAATCATTAGTTTATATAAACAGACTGTACACTTATTTATTAGATCCTTAAAGCACACACCTT